TTAATAAACATCAATTAACGTGTATAAAAAAATCTTACAATAAACCTTTACTTTAAAAATACTAAACTAAAAATAAAAACGTGTTATTTGGGTATAAATATTTGTAATTACAAAGAGTATAGCTCATTACAAATGGGTGATATATATATGTTAAATATATACAAATCTTGTGAATTTAATATCAAATTTCAATTCTTCTAAAAAGGTGTTTCATCTACTAACCGGCTTGAATAACTTTTCTAACAATAGACAAAAATTACAGATATAATTTTACTCTATACTAAATCCTTCGATATACAAATCCTTCGATATCGTTACAATCTCAACTCCCAACTTAATTTTGTATTTAATTTTCCCTTTTCCTATTTTTCCTATCTTAGTAAACTGTTTTATAGCCTTCAAAACCTTAATCAGGCCATTCATCTTGTTAATAGGAATAGAAGTACTTCAATTAACTAAATTGAAAAATAAGAATACAAAATATTTATTTTAAAATGGATAACATTTCAACAATTCTTTTATTTAATATTTAATAATTTTTTCCAATTTTTGTTTTTGTGTTTTTTTTTGTTTTGTTATTTGTTGATCTGTTCTACTTTTGTTTATTAAAAATCTGTCATTAACTGAGGAAACCCGCATATCCTTTGAATCCTTGACAGTTAAAACAAGCACTTTGACCGTCATTAAATAGAAACAAAAATGTGGAGCAAATTTAAAAAAATACTGTCACTGTCACACCCCCATCTCCTCCATTGTTGGTGTGAAAATGATTTAAGTATTAGTGCTTTTGTGTGTAGTGGTGTAGTGGAGTGAATATTGTTGCTTTTGTTCTGATTTTGTTATTTTGTACCTATTGATTTCTTTGTTGTTGTAGAAAGCATTTAAACTGATATTTCACTATTTTAGTTATAAAAGTCCTTGTGGTTATTATTTCGTTAATAATATTTTTATTTTTCTCAATTTATTTTGTTATCATTCTGTAGCCTGCATGTGTCAATTTTATGATAAAATTCAAAAAAAAAAAAAAAAAAAAAATATAAAACAAACTAAATTGGTACACACAACGGAAACAGTGGAAGCATGAAATAAACTCAAATGAAACGAAATGAAATAATTCACGAAACATGAGCTCTGACATTGTTGGTCGGTCTACCGTGCGTATGAGTGACACAGAAATGTAAGGATGTAAGGTATATCAGTTTACATATATCTGAGTTTTCAATTCTCAAAAAATTATAAAAGTTAGGAATTTATAGGAAGTAAAATTAGATTTATTAATAAAGTACAAAAAATATATTAAAGTATGTTGTGACGATAGCATTGGATGATGTACTTACCTTAAAGCTATGACTTTCTTATAACCTAGTCTTTCATGATCAAAGTTAATACTTAAGTAAAGTACAAAGTCAATACAAAGTTAAGAACTAAGCAAGAATGTTATATATTATACTTCAAGTAATGCTTCCAACAGCATAACCAAACCAGAGCAAACCAGAGTTAACCAGAATAAAGCCAACATTTTTTTCTAAAATATTTACAGAACAAATTCTTACTAACAGTTCAAACTTAAAAACAGTGTTTAGACTGTTAAAAGGTTACTACTTCCAAATCATCAAAAACCTATTCGTTTATAGTCTGCATAGGAACCATAGAAACATCGTCACATATATGTACATTGTACATACATATACATACTCAGAGAATATATAACACAAAAGCAGAACTTTCCGCAAAGAATTAATCAACAATTTAGAATGGTATAAAAATTATTCCATGTGGAATAAATAGAGACATCCTTACATATACATGGATAATGTCTTGTTTGTTCATTAGCTTAAGAGCAGAATTTCTTATAGAAAATTATTCGAAGAAACATCGTCAAATATATGTAGGGAATATATTTAGAGAATATATAACACAAAAGCAGAACTTTCCGCAAAGAAATAATCAACAATTTAGAATGGTATAAAAATTATTTCATGTGGAATAAATAGAGACACCCTTACATATACATGGATAATGTCCTGTTTGTTCATTAGCTTAAGAACAGAATTTCTTATAAAAAATTATTCGATAAATTATAGCAGTAAAACAATGATTTGAAAAAGTTCATATGTTTCCGAATACAACTGAAGTGAGAAAAACTCTTCAGTGACTATAGATAGTAGGAACAGGAAAGCTGACAGTTTAGCCCGCTCTGGTGACTCCCTGGATGCGTCACTGGCGGTAGCGGTTTATATTAGTCTATAGACCATTAAAAGAAGTAACTTCCTCTACTTTCTGCAAAATGCCAAGAACAGATGGACAGCACTTAGGTCATGTGCGACTTCCAAGTTAACATGGCTCACCTATAATAAAAATAAATCCTCGGAACTCATCAAAAGAGACCACGTGAACACTGCAATGCTTGCTGCTTTTCTTACTGGTCATTGGTGTATAGAAATCCTTAGAAACGCAGAGAAACTCCGCATTCCGCGTAGTCCTCACTACAGAAATTGTAGTACCAGCATAAGAAAGAAACTATAATACACTTTATCTGTGAATGCCTGGCTTTAGCGTCCAGAAGATATAGGTTCTTAGGAAAATACTTCTTTGATAGTCTATCACACTGCTCACCAGTGAAGATGAAAGACGTATTAAGTTACCTAAATTCGGCGGGATGGATTTAGTCTCTACTCTTCTATACTAGGGTTCATGCGAGGAATGTGGTAGCAAAACGGTACATGGTAGCTTATTGAGGTACATGGAAGTTATCTCGGTTGCCACTGCAACCAACTAACCAACCATAGATAGTTGATTTTGAGGATTCAAAATGGTTTTTTTAGCTAATTGAGAACTCGTTTCCCCCTTCATCACAACTAACTAACTATAGATAGTGGAAAATATATCTGCACTGTTAGGAATTAGTGTTTCAGCCCATATACTTCAAATGTTAACAACAACAATAATACTACCAATCATAAAGTGTAGCGCACACAATTTTATATATTGACAGCTTAAAATAACAAAAAGAAAAGTAATATTTGTGATTAATTTGGTTTTAGTATATTTTGACAGAAAACTTGTGACTTTCTGCTTGCACGGTTAACGAATGGTTACTTTCCATGCTTGACTTTCATCTCGGATTCATCTCGAAATTCCATGGCAAACATGCAATTGGTATGCGAACGTGAGCTGTCAACAACTTTTGGCATTCATTGTTTACTTATGGTTCAGTAACGAAACTCAATCGAATCGCTTGCCTTGACGTTGTTTTTCCCAAAGTGCGTCTGTCTTTTATTTTAATACTTTTTAGCTGGAAATTCTCTCATTGTTTTTCCACTTCTTTTTGGAATTGTTTAACTTATTTTCATTGTTTTTGTTTTCTTTTATCCCAAAAGTCCATTAAAGACTTTTTTTGCCCTTCTAAGTCTTATTATCATATTGTGTGACAATGTCATAATGGAAAATATTAGTTGAACCAGTTTAGTTGAGTCAGTCTATTTTGGAATGGGGTTGGGGTGTAGAAAAATTGTTTTCTGTGTTCTAGATATTGTCATTTCCTTATGTTGTTGTTGTCGTTGTTATTATTGTTATTGCTGTTGTTGTTGTTGTTGTTGTAAGTATTAATAAACGTGATGTTATAATTGTCAAGAAATGATTTTGTGCAATAAACTGGAAACGAATTCATTAGTACTTCATTAAAGTTGGTCAATGATTTCTGACCAAAATATAAATGACTTGAATAACGATATTTATGGAATTGGTGTAGTTTCGATTAATCAGTATATTTGTGATGATATTAATCTACAATTCTTTTTTTTAATTTATAAAAGCAGTTATGACAGTTGTTAGTGTTTTATGATATTAATATTTTTTGATGAAACATATTATCAGTATTAAATAGTGATTTGTATATATGTAACCGACAAGTATTCCTGAGTTTATAAGTATCAACAGTATTTTATTTTAAATAATTTAATACAGACGTACATAATAATGTACATCCAAAATCCATTTATGTCGTTTACTTTAATGAATATTTATCATTGTTAGAGCTGTTGTTTAGTATTTAATCATGATTATCGTGTTTCACATCTCAGACTATGTTCGCTAATAAATCTGTTTTAAGAATTATTAAAATGCCGTCTTGTCACTTGAATGCAATTTGTGTTAAAAGATTCGTGTGACTATGTATTTTAATTTTCGATGAAAATCATCAATACAAAATTACATCGACAAGCTAAGTTTCACTATTGGTAATGAAATCCTATACTTCATAAATGATACAATATGCTAGAATATAAACTTCCCTCTCTAGATACCGTAGTTGGTGAAAACTGTCCATATTCTTAAGAAATTGAGTTGAGGTAGCAGTTGTGTGAAAGTTTCTATCAGAGGAAGAGTCACTAATCTGAATATACCATATAGACCAAAAACTAAACAGCAATAAAATCCATCAAGCCTTAGTTGTGCTGGAAATATTTTGTAAATAAATGTGGCTTGTTTTTTTCCCTATTTTTTGAGAAAAACCACATAATATGACAATAGTAATGTTCAAGTAAAATGAACAGATGATTCGGAAGGACTATTTGGTTGTCATTAAATTGATTAGTTATCACTGTACATATAATATGAATTTGGCTCCAAATGTTTTCTTATATCCACATATCAAAATCGAACACAGCAAAGAACGATTTTCTCTGCGAAAATCATTTTTGACATCTTCCAATAAAATGCTTTCAAAACTGTTATGTATTTGAATTAATCAATTCATACACCAAATAAAACGCCACTGCAAAATCAACCTCACTAGCTAATCACCACGAAACAAGCAACTCGCTCTCTATTAAATTATATTTGTATTTTTGTATGTATTTTAAATAAAGTTCAGTTCGCTGCAGACTACCTTAATGGTAGCACGTAAACATAACACTGGCGACGAGGCCAAACGAACAGAAGTAAACCACGTGATCGCGAAATAAAAAAAAAAAAAAAAAAAAAAAAAAAACTTCAGAAAAATGGCAAACGAGTTTGCTAAGATAATAGCGGATCAGAACGCTTTTATGAAAAGCATTTTGGATGACCAGAAAGGATTTTTACAAACAATGCTACGGGGAGTCACTTCAAGTACTAATGAAGGTACATTGGTTCCAACATTTCCAGCATTCGGAAAGGAGCACACTAAGTGGGAATCATACATGCAGCAGATGACTCAACATTTTTCGGCGTAAGCAGTCACCACAGAGCTCAAAAAGAAAGCGTTTTTTTTAACATGGGTTGGTGGTGAGACTTTTGAGTTATTAAAAAAATTATTCGGGAAGAATGATTTGGAGGGCATTCCATTTGCTGAGTTGGTGCAAAAGCTGTCGGAACATTTCCAAGAACAAATTCATGTGGTAGCAGCGCGGTATAATTTTAATAAGTGCTTGATGAAGCCAACGCAAACATACAGGGAATGGGTAGCTGAATTAAGAGGAATAGCTAGAGAATGCCAATTTCAATGTATAGGTGAAAATTGTACCAAATCATATGTTGATGAAATGATTAGGGACATGTTAATTCTGCATACACCTCATGACACCGTAAGAGCAGCGGCACTTCAGAAATTAAAACCTACATTGGAAGATGTTTTATTAATTGCAGAGTCTTTTACTTCGACGACAAATGCTACAAATTCTATTAAACAACAACAACTTCAAGAGAGTTTGCCGTTAGTTAATGAAATCACGTCACATGCAAAAAATAGAGCACAAAAAGAGAAAAGTAAGAAAAAATGTTTCAGGCGCGGAGGCTCTCATCGACGTAGCGACTGCAAATTTAGAGAAGCTGTTTGCTTTGTCTGCAATAAAGTTGGACATATAGCAAAAGTGTGCTTGAGCAACATTAACAACAAAGCAAATACAAGAAAATTAAAAATTACAGCGAAAAAGAATGAAAAGAATAGTGCACAAGCAAACGCAATAGAATGTATTGAAAGTGTGTATAATACGACAGTAGAAGAAGTAAAAATTAAAAAGAAAAAATATATTAATGTGGAAATTTTAAATAAAACAATAAGTTTTCAAATGGATTCAGGTTCATCGGTTTCGGTCATAACGCAAAAGACATTTAATCAGTTAGGCAGGCCAAAACTTCGAAGTTGCACACGTCCAATTTATGGTTATGGTAAAAAGGTGATAGAAACCTTAGGCGAATGTGAAATAAAAATAAAATGTGGAAAACTAGAAAAAGAAGCAGTGCTGGTTGTTGCTAAAGTCGAAAGTGGTCAAAATTTATTTGGCATGGATTTATTTGAAGTTTTTAATTACGATATTGTGCAAGTGAATAATATTATTCAGAACTCAATGTTGGTAGAAGAAGAATCTAAAAAATTATTATCAAAGTACCAAGAATTGTTTGAACCGGCAACAGGGCCGATTTCTAATTTTAAAGCGAGCATCAAATTAAAGTCTACGGCAGTACAAAAATATTTTAAATGTCGTCAGGTGCCATTCGCCTTACTTGAAAAATTTAACGTAGAAGCTGATCGACTAGTGCAAAACAGTATTTGGAAACCTGTTAAGTTTAGCAATTGGGCTTCTCCAATCGTACTCGCACCAAAGCAGGACGGCAGTATTCGTATTTGCGGGGACTTTAAAGTAACTATTAATAGTCAAATCGAAATTGAACGGTTTCCATTACCAACACGGGAGCAGTTATTTCATAAAATTCGATATGGTCGTATTTTCTCTAAAATTGACTTAAAGGATGCATACTTACAGCTGGAGTTAGACGAAGACTCAAAAAAGCTGGTTGTCGTGAACACACCAAATGGACTGTTCGAGTACCAAAGATTGCCCTATGGTATAGCTAGTGCGCCGGCAATATTTCAAAGATATCTTGAACAAATTCTGCAAGGTATCGACGGGTGTGGAAATTACCTCGATGACATCATCGTTGCGTCAACCACGGTACAGGAACATATACAACGACTAGATCAAGTTTTTTCAATACTTAAGAAGTATGGCATCAAGTGCAAACGGAACAAATGCAGTTTTTTTCAAAACCACATTGATTACTTAGGAAGGCGTATAAGTGCAGAAGGCATTTTGCCAGAACCATCAGGAGTAACAGCCATTCAAAACTTAAAACGGCCTGAAAATCTGAAAGAAGTGGAAGCGCTAATGGGTAAGATAAACTATTATTACAATTACATTCCAAACATGTCGCAAATCGCTGCTCCGATAAATCAGCTTCGCAAGAAAAATATTCGTTTTAATTGGACACACATACATGAAGAGGCGTTCAAGTCCTTAAAGAAGCATATAGTGAATGCTACACAATTAGTTCACTTTCAGGAGCACTTACCAATAATCCTCGCTACAGACGCTTCATCATCAGGTATTGGTGCAGTAATTTCGCATATCTTCGCAGATGGCAGCGAACGCCCAATAGCATTCGCATCAAAGACACTCAACGTTCATCAAGTAAAGTACAGTCAAATAGAAAAGGAGGGGCTTGCGATTGTATTTGGCATTCAAAAATTTCATCAATACTTGTATGGCCGTAAGTTCACTCTATTCACTGACCACAAACCATTGGTGAGTATCTTTAATCCAGGAAAACACTTGCCAACAACGACTTCAAATAGACTACAACGGTGGGCAATAATTCTAATGGCCTATCAGTTCGACATAAAATACAAACCTACAGCACAACACGGGAATGCTGACGCCCTTTCAAGACTACCAGAAGGCCCAGATAACAACTTTGATCAAGAGGACAATTGTTTTGCAGTCGAAGAGCTGGATACCCCAATTGATGCAGAGGTTATCCGATTTCATACAAAGAGGGATGAAACTCTCATGAAAGTTCACCGGTTCATACAACAAGGGTGGCCTATATCCGTAGGACCACAACAGGCAGATATATTACCATATTTCCAACGTAATACTGCTTTAGTTATTATTGATAACATTATTTGCTTACAGGGCTATTCAAATCGGGCTATAATTCCAAAAAAACTACGCCAACGCGTCCTTAAACTGTTGCATGAAAGCCACTGGGGCATAGTTCGAATGAAACAATTAGCTCGAAGATACTGCTGGTGGCCGGGCATCGACAAAAACATCGAGACACTCGCATCGTCATGCAACATATGTAAAAGAACGTCAGCCAGTCCACCAAAGGAATTTAGCTCGTGGCCCGAAGCTATACGTCCGTGGCAACGTGTCCACATTGACTTCGCCGGACCGGTATTCAATCAGCATATGTGGCTCGTATGTGTCGACGCATTTTCACAGTATCCGTACATTGTCCAATTGTCAAATACAACCTCTACTGATACAGTAAAGGCATTAACATCAATTTTTGCCATAGAGGGTTTGCCGGAAACGTTAGTAAGTGACAACGGTCCACAACTTACATCCTCACAGTTTAAGGAATTTTGCTTGAAAAATGGCATTCAGCATGTCACGACAGCGCCATTTCACCCGGCTTCAAACGGCTTAGCAGAGCGTTTCGTGCGTACTTTCAAGACATCTGTGAAGAAAAACCTTGATGACAGTATGCCAATTAGTGAAGCAGTTATCAAATTTTTAGTGACCTACCGCTCTATGCCAAATTCTAACAATAAGTCTCCTGCAGAGTTGCTACACGGCAGAACGGTTCGAACGCTTCTTACGCAGATTTTACCGGTTACAAAATCATCAAAAAAGCAACCAGTGACGACAAAATTCGGCAAGGATTGTAAAGTTTTTTTACGCAACTACAGCAGCGGTCCTAAATGGGTCGAAGGAATAATTGAGAAATCTTTGGGAAAAAGGGTCTACTTAGTTAAGACACAGACTGGTCAATGTAAGCGTCATCAAAATCAACTTCAAGCGCGCCAGTCAACACCGCCGCAACCAACTGCCTATGAACCATCAAAACAACATCAGCAGTCAACCATCGATGAACCATTTAAACAACAGCAGCAGTCAACCATCAAGGAACCGTCACAACAAGAAACAACTCAAAATTTTCAAGAAACAAATGCAGGTCAACAAATTCTAGAAACACCCACCTCTGTGCGCAGAAGTGAACGCACACGAAAACGAGTATGCCGATTTCAATCAGAAGATTTCAGAACTTAAGGGGTGGATAATGTTATGTATTTGAATTAATCAATTCATACACCAAATAAAACGCCACTGCAAAATCAACCTCACTAGCTAATCACCACGAAACAAGCAACTCGCTCTCTATTAAATTATATTTGTATTTTTGTATGTATTTTAAATAAAGTTCAGTTCGCTGCAGACTACCTTAATGGTAGCACGTAAACATAACAAAAACTATATTGTCGAGGTTAAGACACTTCAAATCTTCTTTCGAAGTCAAAACCGAAAGCATGGGCTACGACACATCAAAATGAAATAAAATATGCACAGATCAAAAAGAAAAATATTTCAAAAATTGAAGTCTTTTATAATGAAAAATTATTAAGTTTTTAATTACCAATCTCATAGTATGAATAGTGGGTCTCATATAGTTTATTCCGTGCGTAAAATAACAAATAGTCAATATGCGAAATAATCTTACCTTATTGAATAAACTTAGTTTTCACTATTCCATCGATTTCGGAATAAATAATATTAGACAAACTCATTATACTAATAACAACTGATCAGATCACCAAAAGCCCTGAACATTTAAATCACAATAAAGTGAAGACTGCGAAAGCAATAAGAATCATAAATGAGGTTTTAATATAATGAATGTTATTGTGTTATTAATAGAATAACATAGACTCATTTTGTTAGTTTATGATTTCTGAAATAATCACTTACAATCATTATTAAAAACTAATGATTTAATCCTTTACAAGTTTTTAGAAGCTATAGGAGTTAGAAAGCAGTTCATATATATTTTAGAATTCTTAATAATTCTTGAATTCTCTAAACTTGAATTAATGATATAGTTTATGTATGGTGACCTTATTATGCGATCCTAACTAACCACCTATCTTTAGATTGTTTACATGTGTTGCCTCATACTTATTAATTATCATGTAGAACATCATAAAGTTTCATGAAATCCATTGAGGAGAGTAAATAATAAAACAAATAATTTGCATTGTGGTCGAAATTCTCTGAAAGTACGGAATTAAAGTATTTCAAACATATTTGTGTTTCTATTTCCTTTGCTAGCCCGTCTTTCATAAGGCAGTTACTCTCTGAAGTCTGTGTATCTATCTATCTATCCGATAATTATATTTAGAGTATTTTATTCAGTTTTTCAAAAGTACACATTGATGCGGTGATTAACAGCAATTTTTAAGAATTGATGGTGATACCTAGGGAATTGTATATGTTTCTGTTCGGCGTTAAAATTTTAGAAATATTCGTTAATGATGTGTGAGTAGTAAATATACAATAGTATATGTACAAGAAAGTACATAAATATTTAGGTACATATCTATTATTCCTGTTAATAAATTATTTCCTATTTCGGATCTGAATTAAATAATTTACTTAACTTATCTTTCGAGCAAATATTTTTTATTTTAGACATAAATTGATTCAATTTAAAGTATATTAAAATAAGTAATTCAATAAAAAATCAACAAGTGCAGAGAAATTCAGGTGGATGGACGATACCAAACTATATGGTGCTGAACCGAAATAAACCGATATATTCTTTTCGGTTGGGTACCAGTTATCGTTCCAGGAAAATATATCGGATTCTTTTCGGTTTTTGATTCGGTTCCGTTTCGAAGAGCTAGTTTGACCCATTAAGTACCTATACCGGATAGTAGCTGTACTTGTCTATGCACTTCAGTGCAGCAGATATTATATGGAAATTCTGTTGTCAAATACAATATAAGTAATCTTACTTATATTGCATTTGAAAACGTAGGATGTAGACATATGTAATGTATCTGAAAACCTTACGCTCATGAGAGTTCATTATAGTGTAAACTGAACTGACAGTTCATGTTTTTGTCAAGTTTATCTTACGTTCATGACAGTGTAAATAGAGCCAATAGGTGGTACTATTGCAGTGACACATGACAAACCATAGAACATAAAAAACGGCAAACAAAAATGTTAAAGTTTTGATTCATATGTTAGTTTAGGTCAAGTGGAAGGAAGAACGAATCCTTCTCAACTAGCTAAAAAAGCCGTTTTGATTCCACTATTTGATTCATATGTTCTACTTACAAAATTATTTCCACATCTTTTCATAGATACATTTCAACAGAAGCTATTTAAGTACTTTAGGGACTTAGTAACTTGTTATTTTTTCATAGAGAAAAGATTTCATAGTGAAGTTTAATTATAAAGTAATATTTCCTAATAAAAAATGCTGTAGAATACGCTTATCATAATAAAATATCTCTTATCTAATCTTTGCAAACAGAGTCTCCATCATGGTTTTTTAGTTTAAGCAATATGTGCCCTTTATCGTCTTTCTTCTGTTATCAGCTAATGTCTACGTTCTTTGAAGAAACTGAAATAAGTTATGATTTTATATAAATAAAAAAACTTTCTGGATATTGGAACAGAATATTATTGCTTTACAATATTTCTCCGAAATATTGCAATCACCCTAATATTAGGAGACAGAGGCGAACTCCATTTTCAGCTGCAGTTTAATTGTCGACAAAGTTTTACTGCTGACAATGTAGAAATCCTTACGCCGTAAAGGATACAAAGGATACAATTTAGTGAGGCTCAACATGCAACATATTGCAGCAAATTGCAAATTTATGTGAAAATCACTAAAATGTACGGAAGGAGACAATACTTCGAGCAGCAACTTTTTCTATATTTAAAAAATGGAAATTAAAATGAAAATTTGTTGCCCATTTCAAGCAGAGGAACGATTGTGAAATACACATAAAATTACTTTTGATAGAGGCTTCATAAATCTAAGTGAAAAGTAATAAAAAAGGCTACTCTTTCGCCATTTGGAAGTGTCATTCGAAAAGGAACCAAAGCTGTTACTGCTGTTACTGCAGATACTCGCCACATACGCGTCGTAATGCAATTGACAAAATATGGAAATCTGGAAATCTGGAACTGCTGACAGCAAATGCAGTAAAATTAAAAATTTTGTTGCGGCAAAAACCGCTACAGGCAGTTAAGCAATTGTTTTATGTGATTACGAAATAATGAAAAAATCCTCAAAAAACGAAAACAAGAAATTGGTAAAAACAAGATTAAACTTTTTGTGAAAACATGCATAAGCCAAAACATAAAAGGATAACTCGATACACTGGCATCGTAACTCCAGCTGCAATCGCAATCGCAATCGCAATTGCCATGCAGCCAGTAACGATCCACTAAAATACATAAAAATATTAAAAATCATAAAGGCATAAAGCGGCAGGACATGCAATCCAAATTAAACAAGTAAATATATTCATGCAAATTATTGAACCGTGCGAGTGAGAAAATTGTTTTCCCACCAACAAATTTTCTTCCTTTTATTTTGAATTTATTTGGTCCTTTTTTATGGCTTTCACCGCAGAGGATGTTGCTTTCAATGCTGTTGATTATATTTTCCTTGTTGTTATTGTTGTTATTATTATTGGCTGTATCGGCACCAATGCCGGCCGTCAATCCGGAGTAATAAACATTTTTGGTTTGTGAAAAAATAAACCCCAAAGAAAATAAAGAAAGTAAACAACGATTTTTTTAATAATTTTATAGTAAAAATAATGCAAATAATACGATTTATTGAGTTATGACAACATAATTTGGATATCTTTAGGATATGCAAGCCAACTTCAGCAAAATATTTAAAATATGTTTAAAAATGAAATAGACTAAATTTGCCTTCCTTCTTCTCAAAATAGTTTGTTAAAATTAAAGAATAATTTTTACGAAAAAGGAGAAATCACTATACGAAAGGAATTATATTCTCTTCTCAAAATTTTCTAAATTTTCTATGTAATAAAGCACTATCCAATGTGTGGTACAATTGTAGTGACACATGACAAACCATTAAAATCATCCAAAGCATATTAGAGTACGTAGAACATACACTGTTTGGGTGCTATAATCTCAGTATTTGGATGACGATTTCTTGCATCAAGTTGTTTTCAATTATGAGTGTTACTTTTCGCTAGAAAAATATATCAATAAGGTAACTCTTAAATACCATTGCATCCATAAGGTAGCACTGTATAGTGTCGCATTTAGTCTGGAGATATTGCAAGACCGACCCGTATGTTCTGACACAAACTGTATAAAGTAAATACCGTAGCCACTTGACTGCCATAGATTTTTCTTTTTTATGTGGAAGTGGCAGATATATGGTATCTATAAAACTGATAAATACTCCTTTAGCTTTGTTGCTTGAGATATATTTTGGAACTGTAATTTAAATTTTTCGTATGATATAAGTTCAACGTTCTTGTTTTTGTTGGGTATTTTTTGGCAAAAAACTAGAGTATAGAGAATATAAAGATAATTTTCAAATTTGTAACGCTTTGAAATCAGACTTTCATCAGGTAATGACTAAACAATTGCTAGCTGCATACCAAGTCATATAACGTCACTTTTGAAAAATTGGCAGAATTGTAAGATGCCCTGCGCGGTATAATTAAAAATGGTAGTATTTTACAACTAATAGCAAGATGATTATTATACCTTGACCATCTAAATAGCAAGCATTGTAAGACAATGAGATAAATATATACTTATAGCTTGAACGTAATGAACGAGGGTAAAGAAAAGAAACGAGGTAGCTCTCGTTTTCTTAAAAACAATGATTGTGTTAATAGAAGACCATCAAGAACTTGTTCAAACGAATAGGATCATCTGCCCTACAGTCCCAATTTGGCACCCGATAATTTCTTCCTGTTCCCAAACATTAGGAAAAAAATTTATGGCGAGCGTTTTTCCACGTCTGAACAGGCCGTTAATCCATTGAAAACCCTGGTTTTGAAGATATCAACTTCAGAGTGTCAAAACTGTTTCGAAAACTTGTTCAATGGAATGCAAAAATGTATTGGTCATCATGGAGAATACTTCGAAAAACAATATTTTCACTTATTAAACACTGTGTTTTCATTGTTAGGCGCAAGACTTAATAGACAACCTTCGTATTCTCACATTAATCATTACTCCAGAAAGAAGTATTT